TACAGGCGCGTGCTACCACACCTGGCTGATTTTTTATTTATTGTAGAGAGGAGGTCTCGCCAAGTTGCCCAGGCGGATCTCGAACCCGCGGGTTCAGGCAATCCACTCACCTGAGTCTCCCAAAGGCATGGGATTACAGGCTGAGCCACCGAGCCCGGCTAGAAATAATTTTTTTAAAATTATTTATTTATTTTTTGAGTTGGAGTTTCATTCTGTTGCCCAGGCTGGAGTGCAGTGGCATGCTCATGGCCGCCGCAGCCTCAACCTTCTGGGCTCAGGAGATGCTTCTACCTCAGCCTTCCAAATAGCTGGGACTACAGGAACGCCACCATACCCAGCTAATTTTTTTGTTTATTGTAGAGATGAGGTCTCACCAAGTTGTCCAGGCTGGTCTCGAACCCATGGGTTCAGGCAATCCTCTCGCCTCAGCCTCCGAAAGTGCTGGGATTATAGGTATGAGCCACTGCGGACAGCCAGAAACAATTTTAATAACTCCCAACCAGTATAGGAGTAAAGGAAGAATCAAATCAGACTGTCTTGTTTCTAAAGATTAGCAATGGATATTAAACACTGACAAGATATGTAGTTCATGGCCATTGTACATCTGCTTCAGCTAAGAAAACATGGCTGAGGGAAAGGAAAATTAACTTTCTTCTCTGTGATAGCCTATAGTTTACTGAAGCAATATGATTTTTGTACTTCTACCCTCATAAACTTATTTAAAAGCTTGAATATTCCAAACCGAACTCACAAATCACTCACTTGACTCTCCCTTATTTATCAGGCTGTGCTTTCATCTATACGAAGACTTAAAATGCACTCAACATAAGCACCCTGAGAGTCAATCCAACCTTATTGTTTACAGTTTTTCATTTCTAGAGCTCGGAAAGAAAACTTACCCTATCTCATCCACTTATATAATATCCTGGGAACTCATTCCCAGTAATGCAAGGACTATGGTACTAGCAAGCAAGACTGAAATAAAGTAGATGAAAATGACTAAAAACACAGACACACACATTAAAATGGGTATGGATTTAACTATGTTCATTTCATCTTTCTACCTCTTTCCTCAGAAAAGTTAAGCTTCCAATTATAAAGGAAGACAGGAGGGAGATAAACTACTTACATTCAGACAGTGGTTTGAGGATAGTTTGGCTTTTGACATCTGACTCTACAATTTCAATAGCTCTCCTATAAAAAAAAATTATAAAATTAATTTAGTCTGAGCCAAACCAAACACAACACCAAACCACCAAGCTCAAAAAACATGTTTTATAATTTTAAAACCCCAAACAAAACTGGGATATGTCTCAGCTAGAGGGGACTTAATTGCCTTGAAATAATTCATAGACCAGGGATTTGAGAAACTTCAACACTAAATGGTTTCCTCTTATAGATGCCAAGTAGGTCGTCATACATTGAGCCAATGATACCATTTTAGATGAGGAGAAAATGTCATGAGTAGGAGAGAGAGTATGTCGTGTGGGTGACTGACAAAAGAAAGCCAATACCACCCATATACACCAAAAGGGTGTCCTTAGTTATATATACATAGGATGTAGGTAGGCTAAACCATGCTAGCCTACATGACTATTGCTCATAGCTGCAGTCTTTAGCCAAGTAGTTTGCTGACTAGGGGTAACTTTCAAATTCAGGATCATGCCATCTAGCAATAGGAAGAGCTTCCTCTCCCACTGCTCTCTCCAAAGTACTTTGCCCACAGGAAGCCATAAGCCAGACCTGTATCTTCTGCATGGCAGTAGGGGGAGGTTGGACCAGCAGGCCAACACAGCAAGTATCATTTTAATGGACCCAGTGTCCCTACTGGGAAGGAAGAAGTTTCATCAGTCAGCACAGAGGCTTTCCCCAGCAGGAGGGGCAGGGGGATGGGAAGGGAGAAAGAGGTCTGGAGTACAACTGGGGGGACTACCAACTGGAGGGAAGAAGGGGTGCTCACAAAAGGAAAGGCAGGGGAAAAAGTCTAAAGGCAAAGATGGTTCAGGTCCATAAATAAACCTGCTTGAGACCAGTTAATGGAAAAGTAAACTGGAGTCTTTTTTAATACAAATGTAATTAACCAATCTATAATCACCACAGGGAGTGCCAGCAACATCTCATTTGTTTCTCCCTCTGTAGGTAATGGACTGATAATGTTTCAGACATTAACACGGTTGAAATCCACAGCTCCCCACTGAGAAACAAGTCCTCCTTTCTGAGCATAAAAAAGTAGCAGAACCGAGCCTCTTAAGCCACATTCACTTGAGTTACATGAGATAATTAACAGCATTTTTTTTTCAAATAAAAGCAGCGAACAGTGCCATAACTCACCTGCAAACATCTAGTGCTTTACGAACATCTCCTGAAACGGCAGAGACTTTGCGGGCACAGAACTGAATTGCAGCACTGTCCAGAACCTGATCTCTAGACACCTTCAGACAAGACAAAAAAGATAATAGTTTGAACTATGAAAGTCTTCCTCTGTAATTCAGGTCCAGGTCATAAAAATTTTCACATTTAACCCTAAACTTCATTGGTGATTCTTTAGGGTCTAACAGATGCCTTTTCTACTCACAAATAAATGGAGATGTTTGAAAGTTTTCACACATTTAAGTATTTTTGTAGGAATGTGGTAAAAGTTAATAAATAAAAAAAGAAATTGGAACTCAAATTAGCAAAAAAACCCAAATTCTATTTAGTCACTTTCAAAAGAAAATTTTTTCATAGACCGTTTTTTAAAGATCATTAAAGCATTTGAAGCCGGATGCAATGGCTCACACCTATAATCCCAGCACTTTGGGAGGCTGAGGCAAGAGGACTGCCTGAGCCCATGTGTTCAAGACTAGCCTGGGCAACATGGTGAGACCTCGTCTCTATAATAAATCAAAAAATTAGCTGGGCATGGTGGCACATGCCTGTAGTTTCAGCTACTTGGAAGGCTGAGGCAAAAGGATTGTCTGAGCCCAGCAGGTCGAGGCTGCAGTGGCTGTGAGCAGCGTGCTACTTTACTCCAGCCTGGACGGACAGAGGGAGATTCTGACTCAGAAAAAAAAAAAGTACTTGAGCAATTCCTCTAACTCCTGCTTTTACATTAATACTGAGACATTTGATAAATGAGTGGTGCCATGTGTGGAAATCACATAAAAATGTTCTCACTATGGTCCATAGGAATAATTTGCTCCACTAGTTTTTTCTTTTTTTTTTGAGCTGGAGTCTCACTCTGTCGCCCAGGTTGGAGTGCAGTGGCACACTCATGGCTACTGCAGCCTTGACCTGCTATGCTCAGGCAATCTTCCGCCACAGTCTTCCAAGTAGCTGGAGCTACAGGCACATGCCACCACACTTGGCTAATTTTTGGATTTATTGTAGACGAGGTCTGGTCAAGTTGCCCGTGCTGGTCTCAAACCTCTGGGCTCGGGCAATCCTCTTGCCTCCACCTACCAAATTGTGGGGATTACAGGCATGAGCCACCATGCCTGGCTTACCTTGCTCCATTAGTAAAGCAATAAAAGCACAACATAGCCGGGCTCGGTGGCTCAGCCTGTAATCCTGCGCCTTTGGGAGGCTGAGGTGAG